GGGAAAAAAATCCAAAATTTTGGGGAAAAAAGGGGAAATAAATCCAAAATTTTGGGGAAAAAAGGACTAAAATCTCAAAATCTGGGAGGAAATCCCAAAATTTGGGGAAAGGGACCCAAAAAATTCTCAAAATTCCAAAATCTGGGTGGAAAGTCCAAAAATTTGGGGGAAAAAAATCCAAAATTTGGGGGGAAAAAAGGGGGAAAATCCCAAAATTTTGGGGAAAAAATCCAAAATCTGGTGGAAAAAAGGGGGAAAATCCCAAAATTTTGGGGAAAAAATCCAAAATCTGGTGGAAAAAAGGGGGAAAATCCCAAAATTTGGGGAAAGTGACCCAAAAAATTCTCAAAATTCCAAAATCTGGGTGGAAAGTCCAAAATTTTGGGAAAAATTCCAAAATCTTGTGGAAAAAAGGGGGAAAATCCCAAAATTTGGGGAAAGGGACCCAAAAAATTCTCAAAATTCCAAAATCTGGGTGGAAAGTCCAAAATTTTGGGAAAAATTCCAAAATTTTGGGGAAAAATGAAAAAAAATTCCAAAATTTTGGGGAAAAAATCCAAAATCTGGTGGAAAAAAGGGGGAAAATCCCAAAATTTGAGGGGGAAATCCAAAATTTGGGGGGAAAACTGAAAATCTGGGGAAAGGGACCCAAAAAATTCTCAAAATTCCAAAATCTGGGTGGAAAGTCCAAAATTTGGGGGGAAAAAATAAAAAATTTGGGGGGAAAAAAGGGGGAAAATCCCAAAATTTGAGGGGGAAATCCAAAATTTGGGGGAAAAACTGAAAATCTGGGGAAAGGGACCCAAAAACTTCCCAAAATTCAGGGGCAAAATCCAAAATTTTGGGGGGAATATCTCAAAATTCAGAAAAAAAGGAAAAAATCTGGGGGAGAATGGGGCAAAAATTAAAAAAATTCAAAGGGAAAAGCCAAAAAAATCACAAATTTTGGGGAAAAAAGGACCAAAATCCCAAAATTTGGGGGAAAATCCCAAAATTTGTGGAAAGGGACCCCAAAAATTTTTGAGAATTTTTGGGTCCCGTTTCCCAAATTTTCTGGTTCCAGAGTCGATTTTTGGGTGCACTTGGGGTGAATTTTGGACGAATTTTGGGTGAAATTTTGGGTGAACTTTGAATGAATTTCATGTAATTTTTCTCCAAATTTCCCAATTTTTGGGCCATTTTTTCTCCAAATTTCCCCTTTTTTGGGCTATTTTTCTCCAAATTTCCCCATTTTTATGCTGGTTTTTCATCCGTTTTCCCCCATTTTTTGGCCAAGTTTTTTCTCCAAATATCCCAAATTTTGTGCCATTTTTTTCTCCAAATTTTCCCATTTTTATGCTGGTTTTTCGTCCATTTTCCCCCATTTTTTGGCCAAGATTTTTCTCCAAATATCCCAAATTTTGAGCCATTTTTTCTCCAAATTTTCCCCATTTTCTTGCCATTTTTTTTCTCCAAATTTCCCCATTTTTGTGCCTTTTTTTTCTCCAAATTTCCCAATTTTTTTGTTGTGCTCCCTCCATTTTTCAGCCACTTTTTTCTCCAAATTTCCCCATTTTTGGGCCATTTTTCCTCCACATTTCCCCATTTTTATGCTGGTTTTTCGTCCATTTTCCCCCATTTTTTGGCCAAGATTTTTCTCCAAATATCCCAAATTTTGGGCCATTTTTTTCTCCAAATTTCCCCACTTTTGTGTCATGTTAATTCCGTTATTCCCCATTTTTGGCCAAGTTTTTCTCCAAATTTTCCCATTTTCGTGCCATTTTCGGGCCATGTTTCCCCATTTTCGTGCCATTTTTTCTCCAAATTCCGCATTTTTGTGCCATTTTTTTCTCCAAATTTTCCCAATTTTTGGGCCATTTTTTCTCCAAATTTCCCCCTTTTTTTTTTTTTTTTTGTCATGCTCCTTCCATTTTTCCCCATTTTTGGCCAAGTTTTTTCTCCGAATTTCCCCATTTTTTCGCCATCGTTTCTCCAAATTTTCCCAGTTTTCATGCTGTATTTCTCCATTTTTCCTCATTTTTGTGCCATTTTTCCTTCATTTTTCTCAAATTTTGTGCCATTTTTTCTCCAAATTTCCCCATTTTTCCCCATTTCTCCCCATTTTTCCCCCCATTTTCCCCCATTTCCCTCAGTTTTCCCCCATTTTCCCCCATTTTCCCCATTTCCCCCCCGTTTTTTCCCGTTTTCCCCCATTTTTCCCCATTGCCCCCCATTTCCCCCATCTTTCCCCATTGTTCCCCATTTTCCCCCCATTT